AGTGGTTAAACATTGGAACAGGCTGCCCAGGGAAGTGGTGGAGTCCCCATCCCTGGAAGTATTTAAAAGACGTGTAGATGTGGTGCTTGGGGACATGGTTTAGTGGTGGACTTGGCAGTGCTGGGTTAACAGTTGGACTCGATGATCTTAAGGGTCTTTTCCAACCTAAATGATTCTATGATTCTCTACACCTGTTGATGTAGGTGCAGATACAATGCTCATATTACATGGTTCAAAAAATAAAAACCCTGAAAACTGAATGTGATCTGAGTTTTAGACTTTGCACAGAACCAAAAAAATTAAGCTAAACAGTGACTGAGTTTTATGGAAAGGGTTTTATGGACACAAATGTTTGCAATTAAAAAATTCTAAGAAAACAGATTTTGTTTGGATGTAAACATTTCCCTGCAGCCCCAGAAATACTAACAAAGCAACACTGCACTGAGACATTGGGAAGAAGAAAGCGTTCTTTAAAGTAAGGAAAGAGCAACAACCACCAAAAAAGGTAAAAGTACGTCTTGAAATATTTTAAGTTTACAAAGATGTAAGATATTGTAAACATGTTCCTGCTTTTTAAATCTCGGCTGCCGTTTAGCTGATTGCCCAGTAAACTGCCAAACTGCACACGTGCCAACTGGTTTTGATGAGAATTCCCGGGGCGGACACACAACACACACACACACACACACCGCCAAGAAATAAAAAAAATTAAAAAAAAAAGAGTGCTGGACCCAGAAGATTATATGGATAAAAATTTATGTGCTGTATTGGGCTGGACTAATGCACACTGAACTTCATGATAGCGTAAAAGTCAAACTTGAGTGCCAAAACAAGAGGGGAAAAGTAAGATCTAGCTTTGTAATTTCTCCAGCCGAGTCTTCAGGGACATAATCTCTTTGTCGAACGAACTGCCAAAAGCACTCCCATAGACATCAATTGTTGCAGTCTCTCTTAAACATGACCTAAAAAAAAAGTTTGATAACTTCACTAGGCAACATTTCCACAAACATCTAGGCGGTTAGCACTGACTCACATCCCTCCCCTCAATCATTACAACAGTTTCCGGGCTTTTGGTTTTGATTTTACCGTGGGAGTGGACAGAAAGACCTGTTGCCAATGCCACTGCCTTCTCAAAAACACACAAGCCTTGCAGGCAGCCGGGGAGTCTCCCGTGTGCGCTCCACCCAGCCACGCTTAGACACATACTAAATTTCTTCATGCTAGACCATACCAACTTGACAGAACTACCTACACGGGGGGTGAAAGGCTCCATACATGCAGACAGTCCGGTCAGACACTGCCTGATCCCATGGCTGGCCCTCAGGACATGCTTGCTGTGTTCACCAGGTCTTATAAAGAAGAAAACAATAGTTGGTGAAATGATGGGAGAAAAAGGAAGATGGGAAAGCAACAGTTTAAGCTGAAATTGGAATTCACATTGAATAACTGACAGGATCTCATCAGCGCTCAGAAGTCATAATTTTGCTCAACTGCAGATGCGACAGGCTACCCCACATGCAAAATGTTCTGCTGTCATCTAACCTTTAAAGACGCATCATTATACTAGTAAGGCCAGAAGCGTAGTAACACCGTCTCATTTTTCGTATGTGCCAGGTATCTCAAACCTAACTGCTGCACACAGGTGGAAGCTGGAAATCCCATTTATTTGACTCTACCTTTGCTGAAGCTCAACTCCAAACTCCCAAGCCGTGTCAGCTTGCTCAAAGCCGTATGTAATTTAACTTCATGCCTTTCCAAGTTGCAACACATTTTGTGCCGTTAAGAGTCACACTGCACTGGTTTTAATCTGCTCTTTGTAATAACAATGCGTATCAATCCAGCATATGAAAAAGCACGTCTGTGGAAAAAAATCCTGTCTTGCTAGAAATCCCTAACAATAAACTTGTCTGAAATTGCCCCCCAAACGTACGTGCTACTTAATTCTAGTCAACTGACAGAAAACTGTTTTTCCACAAGATGCCTTTCCTCCCAAACAAATCAATTCCTACACATTTTACAGGTATTCCCAACCGGCAATTCCATCAGTCTTGGTGAAAAGCTTTGCTGCAACTTTGTACAAATGCTCAAGATTTTTTGAGAAAAGCGTAAGAAATTGCAGCAACACTGAAAAGAGGACGCCCCCCCCATACTAAGTAATAGGACTTACAAAAATAGTATCAAAATAAAAAATTCCTGTGTATCACTGATTTCCAGTGCAGATCACGGTTACTGAACGAATAACAGAATCACGGTTCATTTCCGCGCTAATTTCACCGACTGTGTGCTCTATCTTCACGCATCACTTAGTTAAAAGGTCATCCTCAATGTCCGCTTTCAGAGAGCGGGCGTCTTCAGCATCTCCGTGCTGCCTGCCATACCATGTAAACGGCAGCAGGTTTAGCTTATAATCACTGAAAGAAATCTACTCATAAATCAGAGATGAACAGAGGACATGCAATTCTGCACCACCCTTTCAACACAGCCAACACGCTGACTCAACAAGGGCAAGACAACATCAGGAGCTGTAAAGGTAAGATTCACCCGCTGTCAGTGACATATGCAAACCCACGCAGTAACTAACTGTTGGAGTTTGAAGACACCCATTGAAGTCCAAGACTTTTAATGAGAAACTAATGGACAAGGAAATTTCACGCAGAAGCTTGCAGCACAGCAATGAGGGGGAAACCACACATGCAACAATAAACTCCAAAGCAAGGATGTGCAAGTACCACAGTGAAATTACTGGGTGGCTCAAAGACAGTGATGAAGGCCGAGTTTATGAAGAACTAAAAAAAAAAAAAAAAAAAAAAAAAAAAA